AGGGGGGGGGGGGGGGGAAGCCGGGGGGGGGGGGGGGGGGTGGGAAAGCACTTTGTTGCTTTTGGCAAAATATGTGGATGGGGAAAGGCAGAATGTATGCGAGTGTCCTTTCCTGGAAATAAACATTTTGAGGACATATACTAACTTGGTACCCAAGTTAGTATAACATGGGGAGAAAAAATTGCTTCCTGGGCTGCAGCAGTCACTTTAGGGTGCTGAATGTCACTTAGCGATGGCAAGGAGAGGTACCCAAGGCTGGATTGTAGCTCGGCAGTCTCTGCCTTTTCACTTGGGGGATTGCCAGGTGCTCTCTGTCTTGTGATTTCAACGTGCCTGGTCAAGGCTGGGCTTCTGGGACATTTCATCTTCTGCAGACTCATGCATCCATTTCTCCTGTCCCTCCCTATTCCAGAGAACAGCCCATCTTCACCACCAGAGCCCATGTCTTCCAAATTGACCCCAGCACGAAGAAGAACTGGGTTCCCGCAAGCAAGCAGGCTGTAACTGTTTCCTACTTCTATGACAGCACGAGAAACAGCTATCGGATTATCAGTGTGGATGGAGCCAAGGTAGGAGGCTGATGGTACCCTGGCGTGTTTACTGTGCGGAGAGGATCGTGACTGTCAACCCTGGCTGAAGATAGACATTGATGGGCGACATTAAGCACTTAAATTCATAAATAATCACTTTTTCTATATAATCCATTATGGACACGTGTAGTGATAACTGGAAAAACACAGGGCACCTTAAAAGTGATTTTGCCAAACTTAATTGATTTTATCTCTGACTAGTTTGACTTCACAATCTTAATGAGCCAAGAGCTTTAAGTGTTGAAATTGAGTCTGCAGCACAGTGTCTGAAACCACCACCCGTACTAGGTAGATAAGGCTTAGGCCTTTTCGGTGAAAAAATATTCTTTTTAGAGAACGAGGAGGCAGATATGTGCAGTCTAGAGCTTTTAATGTAAATGCCAACTGCATATTCACTTTTGCCTGGTTGAACTGGTTACAGGTTAGCACTTCATTTTCTTCAGCTTTTGCACTGGAGTTCCTCAGCCTCAGGTGACACACTGGGCATGAAGACTTCCCCCCCTCACTCTTTTTTTTCTCGTCTTGTTTTGCATTACCAGATAGTCTGCTGAGTATCTCCTGTAAGAATCCCGATCAGTTGGATTGAATGGGTTCCTCAGACAAGTGTTTTTATTACATACCAGGTTTATCCCTCTGATTAGTCCCTCCAAAGTGACTTGTAAGGTGACGACTTTCCCCTAGCAGACCCCCGTCGGAGGTATTAGTTAAAATATTTCACTCATGTACAAAAATCATCGATCATTCCTGCCAAAGCACAAACCACAGGATAACGAGACGAGTTTACAGCCTGTTTATCTGTGCTCCTGTTTGGATGAGGATGTTAAAATATCACTGTCTTGGGAGAGAGAGATCACAGAAATCATGCCTTAATAAAGCTTTTCTATTTGTCATGCCTATTTCACATGCTTGTTTTTCCAAACATCTCCTGTGCTATATTTGGTTATATATTGGCTTATAAATCAACCATACTGCCTGTTCAAATTGATGGTAATGTTTCATTGACATCGGTATAGCATTAATATATCACCATCAGTACACTGGTTGTGCCGGTGTGTTCATTCCCAGAAACGCCAGCTAACCGGCTGCCTTGGTTTGCAGTCAGCACACACAACCCCTGCAACTTGCTGGGGAAAGCTGGGCCCCCAAATTTGTTTACACCCCACGGGTGCTCCTACACCTGCTCGGGTGAAGCTGGCACTGGTGGCAGCGGGCTGTTGGCTTTACAAACCCAGGCGAGGGTGATGTCCGAACCAAAACTGCTGTACTCGCAGCAGTGGGTGGCTCGATTTGTGGCTGTGCGTGCATGCATTAAGACCAATTAATGAAAAGGAAGTAATTACTGTATGTGGCAGGGGGAAGCTGCAGGGGCAGTGTACGCCCGCAGCCAGAGGGTCCTGCCAAGCACTGCAAAGTGCGTGCTGAGAACAAGATGGGCATCCAAGCTTCGCCTTGTAATCTGCCCGAAAGACATTCAGAAGGAAACACCCCCTGCCCCGTTTCAGTGTGTCCTGAAAGAAGGTGAGCTTTCCATAATTAAAATTCTCCCCCTGGGGCTTCCCGAGCAAGAATCAATTGCTGGCCACATGAATTATTCCTCTTGTGTTGAACCTTTGCTGATTAAGGAACAGGTCAAGAAGAGATGCTGCCTTCACGCTTGCCTCTGGAGAGTCCCTGGTTACCCTGCCTGTCCATTTTAAGAGTGCTGATTTGGTAAAAGAAGGGTCTTTGTGTCCAGACAAAGTTAAAAGTTGCTTTTCTCCCTCAAAAAAACATTGTTTAATGTTTTGACCTACTTTTCTAGGGAGAGTATAGACAGCATCAGTTGGTATTGTCCTGCTTTCCATACATCTCACTTATTAGAATAAAGTCTTCTGTGTCTTGGTGAATACCAGCTGGATTAGCATCACGGCATCATTGCGGGCAGAAGATCCCTGTTTTAAAGACAAAAATGCGGAAGCTCAGGTAAATTAGGGAGTTGGCCCTAGAAGGAAGGTGGTGATGAAGGACATGTGTCTCTTACAACTCTCTGTCCTTGTCTGAACTGCAAAGTGACTGTTTTAACAGTTTATTTTAGACAGACATATACAATGCACATTGGCTTGCAGAGAAATCTCATTTAAATCCAACTTGTATGCAGCAGTTGAATTCGTTTGGGATTTTTTTTTTTTACCTTATGTTGATATTATAATAAAAATATTTTAAAGTGATCAAGAATACAGGGCACTTCACTTAAACTTTGTTCATTATCCAGTTGCATAAGCTTGATTTTACTTTTAGCATTCAACGTATCGCTCTGGGTGGCGTGTTGAATTGCAAGTACGTGGGCTAGCGTAGTGCTGCTGAAACCAGTTAGCACTGCTGTCGTGCAGAGCATGGGACAGGCTGCGTAACGCCAACCCGATATTTAGTTTCCTCCTGATGCACCACTGACCCAATGGGCCATGATTCTCACAGCAGTGGCTTCCTCAGGCTGCTGCTGCTGTCCCCGAAGGTCCGGACCCTCTGCACCCCCCCCTTCAGCCCCATCCTCTCTTCTCCCAGCAGGTGTAGCCTGTCCCCTTCTCCTTCCTGGCACATCCCTCTCCCTCGTCCCCAAACCCCAGGGCGCAGGAGGGTGAGGAGGGGTGCTGCAGGAGAGGGGAGCGGGAGGATTTAGGAGTGGGCTGAAGGGGGGGCATTAAGGGAACCACTGAGCCCGTGTGTTTAAGGGCATAAATATTGGGAACTCCTTTTGCGAGCACGGCTGGCAGGGGGGCAGAGGGGTTGCTTGGCTCTGCTGCCAGTGAGTGCAGCAGGACCCTGCTCTCGGGTCTTTACCTGTTTGCCAAGTGGTGGGGAAGGACAGAAGGGCTTGGCTGGTGCGTGGGGTGGTGAAGACGGACATTGCGGCAAAGAGGAAAATTGGACAGAAAGGGAACAGGATAAAGGGATCAGAGTGACTTAGAGGGAGCTTAACTCTTCCTTCGCAGAGGGATATGCAGGAGGCTCGTGCTGAAAGCCAGGAGTCCGATATGATGGGGGGCAGCCAGGTGAGACCGTACGCCTTCCAGGTGCCAGGTTTCTTCCAAATCTTCCCAGCCCAACAACAAACACCCCCCCCCTCCCCCCCGTTGAAATGCCTGGGGAGTCAAGCACTGAAATGTAGAGATCCTATATTTAAAAAGCTTGTATGACTTTAAAAAAAAAAAGCTAGAAGAGAATGGGTCTTATAATTCCTGTGTCTTTCACAGAAAAACAGGTGCTGTGGACAGTAGCTTACAATTTATAGCAAAAGATTTCACAGATACCATACAAGTATGCACCACGTGATCTTAACCAAGATACGTTCCCAAACAAGGGAATAGATTAGTATATCTTTTAATTATATTATAATTGACTTGTATGTTGTCGAGAATGTAATTTCATCGTGATGTTTTAAGAAGTTTCTAGCCAGAGGCTGTTTAAACTGCAGCACAATGAAAATTGGAGAAAATGATACAGTAAAATGCAAGGGCACGTACTGATTCAGAGTTAATGAGGCAGCCAAGAGACTTCACCATATGAAAGCGCCCAGCGTTGTGGGCAAATTCAACCCTGTTGAAAAATGAGAAAATATGGTGATGATGCCGGGAGAACATGCACTCCTAAGTGCCTGGTTGCTGTGTGGAAAGCCACACAGAGGGCTCCTCATTAAAAGTGACCTACATTATTCTGCCTTTTAGAGGCGAAAAGAAAGTTTGGAAGTATGAGAATTACTCAGACTGAGATCCTCCTTCGTCCTCTGGAATAATACATGGTAGTGCTCTGGTTGGTGGGTTTGTTTATTTTTTTATACACTGGAAATATGTGTTATCCAAACAATACAGGCGAGAGGGAAAAGATGAGAAACTTGTTTCCATATAGAACTTGAGAAAGAAATATAATCCCTCAGGAACAAGCTTTTGTCCTCATTTTCAAATGTTCAGGTGTTCTATGTCTACAAAACGTGTGATTTCAATGGCATCTTTTTTATCTTTTGGGAAATAAGTTGTTAATAAGGAACATAAAGCTGTCTTAAAAATTAATATCCAGCAATAAAGTGTATAGTGAGACTTTTTGAGACAGCAGCAGCAAAGTGACACAGTCAGAGTCATCTGAGATGCCAGTCTTGAGTTGTTTCTGCGAGACGCTTAAACAGATGACTACCAAAAATTAAAATCAGGGTTAAAAAGATGAATAGATTGCAAAAGTAATTTTGGTAAATATATGACACAGAAACATGGACTTTGTGTTTCAGAGGAAAAAAAGATTGTCAGCTGACAGTCATTCCCAGTTGCTAGATCATTTAAAAGAGTTTATTACCTAACAATTACCTTGAATATTGAAGATCAGCAGCTAAGTTGGGCATAATTGTGTGAAAGTATTGAAGAGAGAACCAGCAAAATTGCGGTGCTGGGAAAGCAAAATCAGTGGGTCTATTTCAGAAGTAAATTGCAATTAGGAAGAATAAGACTATGGGCCAAATTTTGCCAATCAGTATTCACGTAGCGTTCCCCAAAGTGAGTACAGTACGCTATATAGCATGATGAAGCTGTTTGATTAAGAGGCATATGTGTCCTGGTAATGGGATCTGTCAGTGAGTGTCACAGCAAGAGCGGACAGTGTGTTTCCCAGAGCAGAATGATGCTGGCAGGGACAGAGCCCCAGCACCACGTGGTAGCAGATATTTAGGAAGGCAAGAAGGAGCGATATGTAAATCTGCTAATATTTTATGTATTTCTGGCTTTCTCAGTTCCTGTACCAGTCCTAATTGCTACCTAATTGAATAGCTGCCCACCTCTGTACGACCACGCTTTTTCTGTTCTCACGACTGGAGGCAGGCATCCTCGGCACACGGAGAGGAAATTCGGAGCTCTTCCAGTGCTGCGTTCAAAGGCTCAAAACAAATCATTTTCTTTGCCCGTGGAAATGGAATTATTTTAAGACATAGTTGTTAAAAATATGCTACGGTATTTTGCCAA